GCCGCGAAGCAAACAAGCGCCGTCCCCCTGCCGGGGCTTGGCGGCAGCGGCGCCGCCTCGGCTCCAGCCCCGCTTCGCCTGCCTGCGCTCAAGAGGGCCGGTCCGCCCTCCGCCCGCGGAGAGAGCAGCACCCCCTGCAACGGGGCTCCAGCGCCCGCCTGCCCGCCTGCCTGCTGCAGCAACGCCACGCTTAGGCGCCCTCGCCGCCTGCTGGCCCCGGTGGTTGTGAGCCGGAGGCTGGAGGGCGCAGCGGCAACAACAGCAGCCGGCGCGTCGGCTCCGCCCTCCTCGCACGGCCGAGGCGGGGCCTGCGCGGCCCGACCGCGCTTGCAACCCGGTTGGCCGCCGTCTGGCTGATGGTCGCTTCGGGGCAAGCCGTGCTGCGGAAGGGTCTCTGGCTGCCGAGTCACCCCGCTCCCCTTTTCCCCAGGCCACACGTGCAGGCCTTAGTCACGGGGGCGGGGGAAACAGGGCACTTGGGGAGTCACCTTCTGTCACAGGGCACTTGGGGAGTCAGCCTCACGGGGTTGTTGTGAAGGCGGAAAGGGCGCTCTGACTGAGATCCTTGCAGAAAGGATGGGGGAACTGCAGTGGATATACCGCACCGGGGTCCACTCCTAGGAGGATCCGGAGGGACCTGGCGCAGTTGGCAGCCCATTGTGCTGTTATGGTCACCATGTACTGTTCCAGAAATAAAATATTTCCAGACTCATGTATAGGATGTGATTTTGGGTGTCGGGTGTGTGTGTGTGTGGTGTGTGTGTAAATGATGCCCAGGTCCTGCCTTTGTGAATTTCTGTCATGAGCACCTCATTTCTCTCTCCATCTAAGAGTTGCCAACCTCCAGATCGTAGCTGGAGATCTCCAGGGACTACAATGGATATCCAAGTGACAGCAATCAGTTCTCTTGGAGGAAATGGCTGCTTTGGAAAGGGGACTCTATGACATTAGACCCCCGCTGAAGTCCTTTTCCCACTGAAGTCCTTTCCCTCCCCAAACCACACCTCCTGTAGGCTCCACCCTCAACACCTCCAGGAATTCCCCAACCCAGAGCTGGCAACAACATTTAATTTACAAATTAAATTTGAACTTCTAATACATGTACAGTCCAAAGGCACATATCCATTCTCTTCCAGAGGAAAAGGGGGTTTTGGTTTACCTTTGCTCTTGTTATTATGAAGTACCCAAATAGGCATGCAAACCACATTGCCTTCATAAAACACCGCCATTTTTGCAGCGGTTTCTCAATATATACAAGTGCCTGTGGACCTTGTTGAAGAGGGTCTCCAGCTTCCGGGGTTTTTTTTCCCCAAGCAGAAATGTCACTCCAAAGGAGAAATGCCCCAAAGCATCTCCCTGATGCAAAAAGAAGTGGCTTATGTTCACTGACTGAAGAAGCACTTTGTGTAGTTGAGAGATACATTACAGTGTGTACACAGGCATCCTCTTCTCCGCATTGGCACCTGAGGTCACTACATGAACACCACAGAAATATACATTTAAAAAGACAGAGCTGGCACACTGGGGGAAAGTCACTAGGAGCGGAGGAGAAATGTTTACCTCAGATGTGGCCTATGAAAAATGGGGCCTTGGGTTTTGCTGCAAATAATCAAGAGCCGCCTTAGCCATCGATCTTTCCCTCCCTACGCTTCAAGCAAGCTGCCTGTTTATTTTTGTAAAAAAAATCACATTCATATTTATCCATTCGTTCATCGCTTTACTTTTTTTAAAAGCCTGAAGCACTGTGGGGATTGGTGGGGACTGGGGAAGGGTGCTACATAGGTGCCAGCCAATCAGCCACCATATTGCTGGCTTCTGCTGTGAATTGGCAGAATAGCTTATTCAAGAGCACCACCTGTACAGAAAAGAGAGGCGTGGACTGAATGCAGCTTCCTTGCTAGAGCCAAACCCCAACCTCAACTACTGCATGGGCCTATGAGGATAAAAAGGGATATAATCTCACGCAAGCTGCCCGCAGCCCAAAGCTTCCTGGAGCAGGAGATAGTTTCAGAGGGTGGCCGGTCGGCTGTAGAAGAGCTAGATTTGAGCCCCGTTCACACCCGAGAGACCAGCAAGATTTTCAGGGCAGAAGTCTTCAAGAGTCAAAGCTGATGAAAGGAGCTTTGACTCTCAAAAGCTTATCCCCCGAGGATCCTGTGGGCCTCTAAGGTGGGGCCAGGAGACTCAGCATGGCGTAGTGGTTAAGAGCCGCCGACTCTAATCTGGAGAGCTGGGTTTGATTCCCCACTGCTCCTTGTTGGGATTCTTTGATTCAGGATCGATGGTCGTATTGCAAACACAAGAGCACACACTTAGTAAAAGAGAAATATATTTACTATAAAAACAAAATAAAACATGGGTAAGGTACTTTGGATAAAAGAAACAAAATAAAAGGTTACATACTTGCAGGTACTTTCAGTACTGTATGCTAACAGCTACATCTTTCTAACTGTCTTGGCTTCTAGAGGAGAACTTCCTCTCTGGTTCACACAAAGGGCCATAAACCTTGTGAATACATTAATGCTAGATCAAAGCATTTCACTTCATTAGGATAAACAACTCCCACAAACTTTCCCGCCGTAGAATACATTATGTAACGTAACATCCTGTTTCCTAACAAACAACCTTTAACTCTGTAATGACTGAAGTGTAAGCAACTTGCAATTCCAACACTCCTCCACATGAAGCCTGCTGGGTGACCTTGGGCCAGTCACAGTTCTCTCAGAGCTCTCTCAGCTCCACCTACCTTACAAAGTGCCTGTTGTGGGGAGAGGAAGGGAAGGTGATTCTAAGCTGCTTTGGGACTTCTTTGAGTAAGGAAAAGTGGGGTATAAAACGAACTCTTCTTCTTTTCCTCCCAGAATTAGAACTGATCTCTAGGCTACAGAGAGATCGATTCCCCAGTTCCCCTGGCTGCTTTGGAGGGTGGACCTTCTAGCAGTATATCCTGCTGATGTCCCTCCCCTATCCCCAAAACCTGCCCTCCCAGGCTCTATCACCAAATCTCCAGGAATTTTACAACCCAGAAGCGGCGACCCTACTCCAGTCTCTCCTCACCTTCCTAAGGGATTTCAGGGAATGAGACTGGCCGCTTGTTTAAACCTCAGTGACCTTCTGGCATGTATCTTTCTGCTCTGGAGGCCAACAGATGAAGAGCATAATTTCATTCTACATTTCCTTGTTCGGGACTCTTGCCAAAATCAAAAGAAGTAAAGCCTTGGCATTGACAAAGTGTAGTGCAGAAGGAGGTGTGGTGGAACGGAACGGAACGGGAGAGAAAGTTGCAGTACTCGACGCATATTATAGAAAGCACTTCATTTTCAAAGTGCTGAGCAGATACCGGCTAATGAATACGATTCTGAAGCCCTGCTGATTGCATCTGGTACACTTTGTACTGAGTCGCTGGGGGCGGGTTTGTGTTTTATATGGTCTCAGCACTTCACAGCAGCAGTGTAATGTATTCAATAGCTGCCACTGAATGCATGATGTATGTGAAACAACTAATTGACTTGCCATGTTGAGCTTCGTCCTGGGCTAGGATCCAAATCCATCCAATTGCATTATTAGCCCAGGAAGCACCTAGCCAATCACCTTACAGCAAGCTCCCTGAGCGGGAACATCCGTGATTGGTCCTTATATGAACAACCGTATTGGAGAGACCTCAGCAGGATATAATGCCATAGAGTCCACCTTCCAAAGCAGCCATTTTCTCCAGGGGAACTGATCTCTGTTGTCTGGAGACCAGTTGTGATTCTGTGAGATCTCCAGGCCCCACCTGGAGACTGGCAACCCTGTGCAGAGGCACTATCTATGTGGTCATTTATTTTACTTGTTTTCATTTCTAGTTCACCTTTCTCACCGGGGGCTCAAGGCGGAATTAATGGGTATTGGTTTGGGTTCGGCCCATTCTTGTCTCTGCCGCAGCAACATTTGGTCAGGGATTAGATTTCTTGGAGGGCCAGTTGGGAGTGGAGTCAAGGGTAGGAAGCAAAAGCCCTGCTCCTGTGCACCTCCCCTGCCACAACCTCCTGGCAGAGCAGCCAGTTGCCACAGACCTGCACAGATTTATCTTTGGTCTGGGGCTGGCAACTGGAGAGTCAAGTCACAGAATGCTGGGTCTGGCCCAGCGCCTTCCAGCTGCTGATCCTTACTGAGAAACAGTGCCACCTGGGACAACAGCATGCTCTCTAGGGATGCTCCAACAGAGCTGTTTTGCTGGGGTTTGGTTTGCTCTGGTTTGGTCCATACTACATTGGGAACCATACTACATCAGCCCCCACCCCCTTTCTGTGCCTCCCCCCGTGATCTTTCCAAAATGTGATGTGGCGTGATTTATTTTTTACCGAGCGCAGTCAATGTACTTTTGTGTCAGATGAAGAGCATAATTTCATTCTACATTTCCTTGTTCGGGACTCTTGCCAAA